TGCAACTTGACTCTATGATATTGTTGACAATGATGTCATCAGTTAATAAATCTGCCCCAGACTCGACAACTTTGTTCAATAATAACTTTTTTTAAATTTTAGTTATTATTCGAAGTCAAAAAGTCCTATAACAATATAGGAACATAAAAATAATAATATTTTTTAATGCTTTGTCAACACGAATCTGCAAATACGCCTGCTTTTAATCAATAACCTTAAGAACTTCTTCGACTTTCTCTAGCTGCAAAAATTAGTCCTGAAAACATTGCCATTTGCAGTATAACCTGATAAACATAGATTATGGTTACGATAGTTGATCACCAGACTTCTGATTTATTGCATTTAATTACTTCCATCAATTAAATGAAATCAATACATTTCCCTTTGATTTCAGCTATTCATGTGTTACCCATTCTTATACATCCATTTCGTACTCATTTTTATCATTTTCAGAAATGTTATAGTTTAGAATTTTTTTTGTTAGAGTTGGTTCTTTTAGCAGCCATTTCCGAAATACGCACCTATTCTTAAATTCTGCTATTTACTTATTTACTTTATCGATTAAGTTTTGAATCTAATCTAATTCTTCAAGTTATACTAGTATGTACAGTATGGGTGACATACTTGCGGACTAATTTAGACTTATTCTAAAAGCTCAAATAAAAAAAGTAAGGGTGTCCAATTTTACTATTTCTTATTTTAAATGAAAATACACTGCATTTGCCACAAATAATTCAATATGGGTCTCTTTGTTTAAATCACGGACTTGATCCGATGCCAAAACCGGTAACAAGTAGTTTTGATAAAAGCGGAGGACATGGCATCCCAAGCCTTGCGGATGGAAAGCTTTTTTTAGGCTTGAAAACTAAATTTAATATTCCAGACCATTTTTACTTAAAAACTGTTTTTTAAATTTTTTGAAGCCAAAATCAGAATATAGTGATCTAATAAGAATATTTAAAACTGATAACAAAGCAATTAGACATAAAAACAAAGAAAACTTGTTAGCTTGGTAGCTGATTAATGCTTCCCTTTAGTACATTGGAAAGATTAGAAAAATTATTGTTTTCAATCTATTTAATAAAAAGGGAATACCTCGCATAGTTGGGAGCTTTTTCAAAAAATTCAATCGAAGTTTAAAGCCTTAATACAATAACTATTTTCAGAGATAAATTGCTTAAAAGAGAAGCTGAACTGTACAAGCAATATTTATCTTCGAATAACCTTAAATAAATAAAAAAAGTATACTAAAACAAGCTCAATGTGTATTATTTTCTAGTTGGAAATATGAAATATCTGCCTATTGAACAGCACTGATGGTGCTTCAAGCTATCATGGTCAATACAATGGAATGCAACAAAAAATTACTGAAGCTGAAGACGAACATGTACATATTTGGTGATATGAACATGTTCTCATCTTAGTTGTGAATGAGGCAACCAGCTGCTGCATTTTGGTGTTTTCATTTTTTAACTTGTTCAAACACTAGTTGAAATAGACATGATAAAACGACTGACATTGATTTGTGAAACAAACTGGTCGGGTAAATCAAATGCTGCGAAATAAGTATGCGGTTTGACTATCTCTTGTTCTCTATATCTCCTAAAACTTGATTTCTTCTTCATTTAAAAAAAAAGCAGAACTTTTTTTTTTTTAAATGTTTTGAAAAAATATGCGTTTTAGAAGGGGTTGATTTTGGTATAATTAATGCGAGTAGTAGCAGAGGAGAGGTGGGGGTGGGTCGTTAGTAGCATACAACTACAAGAGGAAAAGGATCCTAAATCAGTGGTTTTACATTGTACGTACTTTATGGTTGCTCCATTTGCTAAAAGCATACAGAAAAGTTTGTTTGGATCATTGTTATTAACCGCTGAAAGTTCACCCAACCGGATCATGGCCGCGGTTTTCTTCTTGAGCCCATATGGGTAAGCCCGCCGGGTATCCCGTAAGGATCCCACGAGGTTTACCCATTGCAAATCTTGCAAAACTACGTTTAAATGTTTAAAATTTACAGAAAAAGCAAATTTATATATAACTTGATTCGTATATTTCAAAAAAATAGTAATTAAAATTACACTGTCGAAATTAAGCAAACTTTTAAACGATTCTTTAATCATGGATCGAATGCTTTCACAGTTATCTCGGGAATTGGAACTTTTCAATTGTTGTTAAACGACTTCTTTGAAAACCTCTTTACACAATATCTCGTTTCAATATGAACTGTAAAAAAATTAAATTTAACTGTTAGTTTTAAGTTTTATCGATAACACATACATTATTTTTAATGTTATAAAACTCTTACGATTTCTCCCAACACTCTTCAGATAAAAAATGTAATTTTCACCATCGAAGGTAGAAAAACATAACCTTTAATTTTATAATCGATATTTATTTCAACGTTTTAAAATGTACTTGTAATAGATAAGCACATGCTTATGATTCATAATAAATTGATAACATTCCTTTAGTTACTGATAAATTATATAAAATTATTAAATATATATATTTTTTTATTAATATTGTATGTAATATGATATATATTGTATATACCTTATATACAGTGTTGTGGCTACTAGATGCAAGCCCCCCTTCCATTCAAGAAAATAACCTGCCATAAGGACCCCAAAATTCTTAAAAACTTTTCCAATAAATAAAAAAAATTTAAATAAAAATACTAAATAAAATAAAATTCTTACATTTGTAAAAGAACCCCTAAATTTGCAAATGAGCCCCCTAGACAAAGCTCAGCTTATGTATACAGTATTGGACAAAACATTTGCAATCAACATCAAAAATGCTAAAAAGTGTTCCTAATTTTACATCTCTTAAAAACAAAACGAACTATACTACAACAGCAAACAGTTCAGGAGTCTGGAATCATAGCATGCCATGACATGAACAATCAGCTGACAGGTGACAACACACAGGCAGAATTTCGTTGACAAGTGCCGTTTTGCAGCGCACAAAACAAGTGCAACTTTTTTGGTTTGTTTCATTTTCTTAAGTCTGGTCCGTGTCAACGTCATGGAAGTTTTTTAATAATTAAAGCAAGTATCCAGAAGTTTCTTGAAGCATGCAGAAGCTTCCAGAAGTTTTTAGAAGAAGCATCTGGAAGCATCTGGAAGCATCCAGAAGTATCCAGAAACATTCAGAAGCATCAAGACGCATCCAGAAGCATCGAAAAAATTCTAAAATCTTCCAGAACAGGTTCACACAGGTTCATTTTACTATATAAGAGAATGTAAACCGACATGTAATTCAGTCAGTATATTGAAGTCAATCAGTCAGTATTATCAAGACAGTTTGTCAAAGTGAGTTTTATAAAAGTGTTTTATCGAAGAACATAAATACAAGAAGTGAAACACAAAAACTGTTTCATTACATCAATACATTCCAAATCCAACCAAGACTATGTGTTCCACACAGCATTATTGTATCATCACAAAGTATTACGGTAAGCCTTGAGAAGCGTGATTATTTATTTTTATTATTTTTATGACATCCATTGCAAAAATGGCTCCCGACAGTCTTGAATTGGAACTAAGAAAGAAAACTGTTGGCGATTACGTAAGTGGAATGTCACAAAAAAGTATTTGTGATAAATATCGCGTGAAAAAATGGACCGTATCAAGACTATGTTCCAAATATCGTTCTATGGGGAAGTTTGCAGCAAATATACTTTGCTAAACATTAATGTCTTTTCCAAAAACAGACTGTAACGTATGACTTGTTTGTTGTTGTTGCAAAAATATAGTTTTTTTTGTTTGAGCTATTCAGTTTTACTACAACTATATCTTTCGAAATAATCAGTTCTTTAAAAACTGAAACAATGATAACTCTTCCAAACAAATACTATGTCATAGTAGCCATTAATATTCAAGCATTTTCTTAGTTTCGTACAAGCTGAAGTTAGGTTTTTTTTCTGAGAAGTAAATAAATTAAAAAAAAAAAACTAGTTGTATGTTTACTTTATATTTATTGATACATTTATAAATTTTTATTTATTTAGTGTTATTATGATAATAATTTATTTTTAGATATTATTGTCGTATATTGATATACTTATTTTGTTTTTGCTTACTATATTTTCGTTGAAATTTATATCACAAATTTCAAAACTAACTTCTATATTGAATGAATCATTTCTTTTGTTTATTGTCGTATATTGGTATTAGGGATGTTCAAAAAAAAAAAAAAAAATTCAAAACCCAAATACAGAAGAAGCCAAATCTGTGGCAAATACAAATTAATTTTGGGGTATTTTGCCGCTTGAGCACAAGGTCAATATTATTGGAAATTTTTTTTGTAATCGTATTTTTTTACATTTGCCTCAAATTTGGCTTTTTGTGTATTCGCGTTCTGAAAATTTTATTTTTTTGACACCCTAATTGGTATATTTCTTTTGTTATTTGCTACATTTTTGTTGAGATTTATATCGTGAAGCTATTCTCTATATTGAATAAATCAAATTTTTGTTTCAGTGTTTTAAAAATAGTATACTTGTATGAGCATCCATCAGACATGTGCACTAAAGTACCTTTCAATCATAAAGCCTCAAGATTTTGCAACAAGCAAAGTTTTGTTGCAAAGCTTTGTATTTTTTAAAAATAATGTTTAATCGGGTCATTAATTAAATTATCAACTATCATTAAATTGGCCATAACTAAATTAAATTACTAACAAAATTGTCTTGCGCGCAAAAAAAATGGGGTTTGCGTAATTTTTAATTTTAGCTTAAAATTCGCCTTTTGTAATTATTATATATAAATATTTTTAATTTTACTAAGTTTTTATTATTAATGCCGTTATTACGTTTAATGTTAGGTGATACGATTATTTGATTAAACTGGCGTGAAGTATCATGAATTTTTTTTATTTAAAATTATGTGTTTTATGTAACCAGATTAAAAAAAAATGGTTTGAGGTCAGAATTCCTCAAATATTTTTTATGAAACTTATCAGTGATTCTTAGTGAAAAAATTGATTTCAAAATTTTAGAAAAACTTTTGTATTTCATGGCAGTAAGTATGCTTGTGTTTGGTGTGAAGGAGAATGTGGGTGAGAAAATTTTCAGAAATCAGGGAAGCCGGTTATCAAAGTTCTGAAATGAAAGATTATAAGGAGTACATGTTAATTATCATTTAACTTAGAAATTTATAAAACTTTTTTTTAATAATAACAAAGTTGTTAACCAAATTTATAAACTTCAACAGAATGTGGTGAATGTATACCTAATAATAGAGGAAAACAAGCCACAGTTTTTAAAATTGTTAGCTAACAGTATAAACATATCTTTGTTAAAAAACAGCTACTTTTTAATTTTTAGGCTTTTAGATACAGTATCCTGAAAACTCAATGATAAAAATTCCATAAAATTATTGAGACAACTCTGACCTAAAACCTAAACCCTCTTATTTTGACGTGTGTTACCTAAAAAGATACTGAGTTCATGAAAATGAACCTATATCAAAATGCAATATGTCATGCAATATTTCATGATTTATCAAAATGTAATATTTCATGATTTATCAATTTACAGTATGCAATATTTCAAAGTTGCTTCTTTCAAAGTAATGCCTCCATCTACTCCCGTTGTTTAGAAAAAAAAATTTAAAAGCTCAAGAGTAACAAAAAACAGTTGTTCTTAAAAATTGTCGTTTCTGTTTCAGAAACAAAAATTTAAAAGCTCCCGTGTAACAAAAAACAGTTGGTCCTAAAAATTGTCTTCCGTTTCTGTTTTCGATATCCTATAGGATAAAATAAAATTTTAATAAGTTATATATAACTTATTAAAATTTTGGCACCAGAAAATAAAATTTGGACTAAATGTAATTTATGAACAGTGGGAACTAGAAGAATAAAAAAAAATCCCAAGTTTAACATTTAAAAGTAAAAACAATATTCAATATACCATTTTTAACAATTAAATAAAAAATATTTTTAGTATATTGTTAAAGATTGTATTTTCTATTATCAAAACTTTGATCTTTTTAAATGTAATTACGTAAAATTGTTGAAATTGGTAGTAGAAGACCTCTTTATATGAATTTTTAACTAATTGTCATCATTTTAGCTGCTGAATTAATAACTTTTAAATTTTTGAATTGTTTAAAAACATAGTAGACATTTCCTCGCCTGCGTTTTTTAAGGCGCCAACATATAAGCATGTTAAATTTGATCATGTAGTAATTAGTTAGCTTGATAACAATTAAGTATTCTCATGGGGATTAGTATGCTCTATATTATTTAACTAATTTAATTTAATAAAGATTAGTAACTTTGGCAATATTAAATAAAGTTTTTAAAGTTTTGGTTTAACAACTCATAAATTTTACAAAATTAAAAGAACTATAGTCTATAAGATATAACTATAGACTAAAGAACTTTAACTGTGTTATATTTAGCACAGTAAGATAAATACAATCATGTATTTTCTGTAAATTACCATAAATACAAAATATTACAATATTTTAATTAAAACTATTAAAAGACTAATTTTTTTACAAAACGCTATCGAACTAATACTGATATGAATGACTTTATTCATTATGAAATTGGCACGAAAATAACGTAAAAAAGTTATATTCGAAAAATATATATATATATTTTTATTCTATAAAAATATATATATATATATATTTAGCTTTTTATGGTATTGAAAATAAATAAAAAAATTCTAAGATCTGATTGTCTGCGCTTTTTTATGAGTTTCAACATTCTCTACATTAAAAACAAACAACAGATTTATAGACTTTTAAAATAAGTATAATTTAAAGATTTTGTATTAACAATTTTGTTAAATTTATGTACATACATACATTTGAGAATCATTCGTCTCACGTTTTAAAAATAACTTTTATAGGTCTATAAGATGTAGTTGAAAATCCAGCAGCATTTCCGCTGTCATTCAAAGTCAGTACTCACAGCTTATACCGCGGTAGTGGTTCATGTTTTCTTAAATAATGAAATGTCAATATTATATTAGTTAAAAAAAAAAATTTATAAAAAAAAAGGAACTTAATACACTCATTTTAAATGTCTCTTTTTTTTATTACAATAACTCTTTTTTTCAAAACACTGATATTTCATAAAATTTTTACATCGTAAAATGTTATCTTAGATGATATCATTTAATCTCTAATTCGTAATAAAACATAAAAGATGATTTGAACATAGATAACGAGATAAAAACAATTTGTTAAAAATAAGCATTTATAAAAAAATAATAAAAAAACAATAACAGAAAAAGTTTTTACAGCTAACATGATCAGTAAGTTAATTATTCATAAATAAATAAAAAGTATATATATATATATATATATATATATATATATATATATATATATATATATATATATATATATATATATATATATATATATATATATATATATATATATATATATATATATATATATATATAAGCTATTTTGTTTTGATATAAATTTTTATTATTAGTTATTTTTATATAATATCTAAATTGGTCTATAAAAATTATATCTTATTTCTATGGCAGATTCATTAAATTGAAGAAATGACAATAGCTGATTCCAAAAAGTCCGATATTTACTCAATTGCGAACAAGTCAAATGGTTCACGAGTTCATACTGAGCTATTGAGATTAGATGTTGGTAAGTTCAACCAAAGGCTTGAAAATGCCCGAAATTTGGCTAAAAATTCCTTGCAAATTGAAACAGAAAAAAACGATGTTCGAATTCGTCGTCGATCTCGTTCAATTGGTTGTTTACTTGAAAAAATTGATCAATCAGAAAATAACGATATTTTTAATAATCAACAAAATCTTTTAAAATCAAAAAAAAAAGTAATCAAGACTACGAAAAAAGGGGAAGAAGAGAGCGAACAAAAAGTTGTAATCAAAAAGAAAAATATAGCAACCAACGAACAAGAAGGCTTATGTCTGTCATCATTACAGTTATCGAATGATTTGATTGAGCTACCGATTCAAACATATGAAAATGCATCTTTCTCCGAAACCTCTTCATTATCTTCTTCTATAGAATTTGAGCTTAATGCAATTGAAAGTATGAGATTAAAAAACAGAAGAAATGGAGTTGTTATTAATGCGTTTGAGAAACCAAAAAAGCATCGCAAAACTCACTTTCAACTGAGAAAGTTTTCATTGCAGAATATTGGAACTAAACAGACAAAACGAGTTCGTTGTTCTGTTCCTACCAAAGAAAACATAAAAAGTTTATCTGAGAACGATCATTTCTCTAAAATGTTACCGGGAATATTTTATTCAGGTATTGGTTCATTTCAAACAATTTATAATGAAAAATCGAAAAAAAAAAATGACGATTTAAAATGTCAATCTGATTCTGAAACAAAACATTTCATGCAGATAAAGAAAACTACGTCTCCGAGAAAAGGATCGTTTTATAATAATGATAATTTACCGAATGAACCCAAAAATGAATATAAGAAAAGTCTTCATGTCAATTCAATTATTTTAAAAAAAGGTTTAAGTAGATCTTTACCCTCGAATCTAAACAACGAAAAACTTTGGCTTGATGACACACATCACGAATTACCCAAAAAAAGAGAAAATTTTCATAAATGTTCAATAGTGAGTTGCGGAGATAAAGAAGGCATTCTAGAAAAATCTAGTTATGATGATTTCAAATTTATTGAATTAGAAAAGTTTAAAATTGTTATTGCTCAAAACCCTCTTAGTAACGAAACCAGTGATTTTATAAAAAAGAACATCAGCCATTCTTCTGCAAGTATTGATTTAGCATTCTTTCAAAACCAAAAAGGAAAAAAATGTCGAGTTAGAAAGTATTTTTTTAGCTTTTTTAAAACCAATATGGAATCAAAGTTAGTATCGTATCTTAGTAATAAAATTTATGAACCAGAAGAAGTTGGAAATTGGTGTCGAGAGTTAAGCGAATCAATAAAAAATCAAATAATTCATGTCACAGGAGATGCGTATAAGGTAACTTGCCAAATTTTTATCAGCGCTGTATATGATAAAGGTGCTCATATTGCCACACAATCTTCGCATAATAGTTTTACTGATTATCTTTTTACTGCAACATACCGCGGAGAAGAACTTTTTGCATTAGCAACAGCTGCAGTTGTAATCAACAGTTGACTTTTTGTTAACGATTCTTACTAAAAATCAAATTTATTACCATTATTATGGAAGAAGTAACATACTAGAAATTGAAAGCAGTTTTATTTATTCATAGACGTCAAAGAACTCGGTTCATATATATATTGCGATTTAAATATTTTCAGGGCTAATATATCGTATTTATAAAAAATATTTGTTAAGTAATTTTATCAAATATAAAAACAATAGAAGCAGAAGAGTCAAACACCAAGCTTAGACTACTTCTCCTTCGATTAAGAAATAAAAAATATATATATTTACATTTTTGGAATAGGAGAACTGCATCTTAAATTGAAATCTTTTATCAGAGCGATTATTGTTGTTTTGGCTAAAAGAATAAATGAACAAAGGTGCGATTTAAAATCAAAAATAAATCTTAACATAATTTATATTAGGGTTTATTTTGTTGTTTAATAAATTATTTGATTTAAATGTATCAAAAATTAATTAGTAACTGATTATTTTTTAGTATTAATTAGTAACTGATTTACTTTTCAGTAACTGATTATATAAACACCTTAAGTTATAAAAATCAAAGCGTTTCTGTAAATCATTGGCGGAGAATTTTTTTTTACAAGAATTATTTTAGCCAAAAATATTTAAACAATGAAGATCTGAGTTCAGTTAGTTGTACAAACACAACGTGTTAAACATTTGTGTGAGAAACATAAACAAAGTTACGCAATAAGATGGTGTAAAGTTGAAAAAAAAAAAGTTTTTGCTGCTCTGACAACCGATTAAAATTTAGGTTAAAATTTTTTTATTTTAAACTTTTTATAATTTGGTTTAGTATTTAAGTAACTAAAAAATGTTTAAACAATATTTTAATTATTTATTTTATTCGAGTATAATCTTTGCAAAAAAAAATCTTTACAATTATTTTATATATTTATGTACGTTTTGCTTTTATTTACACAAATTTTAGAAAAATAATAGTTTATAAATCTTTACGTTAAATGTAAATACTTTCAGAAAAAAATAAATAAAAATGAAGTTAATAAGTTTTTTAACAAGTATTTTTTTTCCCATTTTAAACTATTTCACCATGGAGCATAATGCAGAAACCAATCGGTTTTTAGAATTTTATGCAGTAAATTTAAATTTCGATGACAAAATACTTCAACTAATTAAATATAAGATATAGTGCAGACCACCATATGGCGTATTACATGCAAACTTTTTGATATGAATTCTTTACTTGATACAGATTTGAAAAACTACAGGTGTCACTAAATTTTTATCTTGTGTTTTATTCTGTAACTGGTCTCCATAGCAATAAAAACTCTTTCAGATAAAATTTAAAAAGTTTTGTAGGAATCAAATGAGAACAAAGTGTTTAAAATAATATATAAAACATAAAATTTTTAACTTTTATTTTTATGTTTAAATATAAAAATAACATGCTCCAAAATTCTTTAATAAATATTTTTTCGTCAACTTTTTTGTAAAATTTATAACTAGTGGTTAAACAGTTTCAATATTATCCTAATAAAATTAAAAACACAGTACACAAAGTTTTCAAATATGTCCCAAGGTTACAAGAAATGAAAAGACTTAAAAAATCTCAGTTTAAAAATTGTGTCATTATTATACTTAAAAAAAATTTTTGAAAAAAAAAAAAAAGAAAACAAGTAAATAAAAAACATTTAAATCTATTTTGAAGCTATACCAAAAAATGCTGTCTTTTTTGATATCCTTCTTTTTATATATTGTAACATGTTTGGTTATTTTATAAAAATTAAAATCATAATAATTATAATTTTATAATTAAAAAGATATTCTATTATTATATTTATATTAGTCGGATTTCAAATAATATTATAATATCTTTTATGTATTCCTTTATATATATATATATATATATATATATATATATATATATATATATATATATATATATATATATATATATATATATATATATATATTATAAACATTATATATTTGTGATTATATTTAATACATACGAATATAATTTTCACGAGAAAAATGTATTTATTTATAATTTACTTAATGAGATATAATACATTATATATATTTTCCAAACAAACAAAAAAAGATTCAAAATGATTGATCCGACTCTAATTTTGCGTTATTTTTAATTCGCTCTATATTTAAATTTAATTGTTATTTGTAATCTTGTATGCAAATATCTGACACACGAGAAATGGCTTTATAAAGACCTTTTACGCGACAATTCATGAGAAATGGCTTTATAATGACCATTTACACGACATTTTGTGAGAAATAGCGTGAGACAATTTATAGTAGTTCTAAATTTATAGTATTATCTACAACCATTTATAGTCTATCTACTAAAAAAATTTCACTGATATTTTTACTCAGATATACTTAGACCAAAAAACATGTCTACAAAAAACATGTCTACAACTCTTTACAAGTCTACAACTCTTTACAAGTTATTGTAAAAGCAATTTTTGTATTGCTAAAAAAGCAATTTTCGTATTGCTAAATTGGAACATGCACCTGTCTGTCTATTCCATAGCTGTGCTATAGCAAATTCACTGAACAAGATCTGCACTATCGCAAAGCCACCAAATAGATTTTGAGCCCCTGCGTTCATTCTAATTCATTGTAATTTGGTTGATCTTGATTGATTGAGTTTGAGCATTTTCTTTATGTAAAGAACTAGGAGTTTAAATTACAAATACGAAGTAGTTTCAATACTTGTGCAGCCGTGGCGCAGTGGTTAGAGTTCTGACTCAGTTTAAAGAGATCTGTGGCTCAACATCGGCTCTTGTTTATTAAGTGATATTGATAAGGAAGAAAACGCCACAAATTTCCTAGGTAAATGCTTTTTTGCGTTCCTATGATATATGACCGTAAGGACTTTTGGGAGCACCTTAATAAACACACACGCACACACACAAAAACTATACTTTCATATATGTCGAAACCTGTGGTAACAGTGTCTGCTCATCCGAGTGACAGAAGACGTGTTTAAGCGTTTATAAAACTTATTAATTTATTTTAACAAGTGTATTTTTAACACGTCTTGGGCACACTGGAATTCATGCTGGTTCACGGTGCATTGATAGGAGTGGTCTTGATCAGATATTAATAGAAGCAGGTGTTTACAGCTTTAAAACACGTAACATATTCTAGAAAGAAAAGTTATGTAACTTTTCTTTCTAAAATATGTTATCTTTAAACAAATTTGGATAGTTATTGGATAGTTCTAACAGAGATTTTGCACAAGAAAACCTTGGACAGATGGTGCTATATTTCCCATCAAATAATGTCAAATTTTTGAATTTAAAAAAAAAAATGTATGAAATTTGACGAATTGTTACTTCAAAAGAACTTATTTCAGTGCAACTTAATTTTAATGTATGAGACATTACTTTAATTTATTCAAGCACTCTGACTGGGACACTAGAAACTTCATCATTTCTTGCTTGATGCAATCGTTCTGAATTTCTTTTCTCATGACCATTATAATTAAACGCATTTTTCACTGCAATACCTTGCTACTATTTTTTCTGATTGCGCATTAGAAAAATAAATGAAGATACTACAGATCTTACACAAAGTAACAGAAGGTGTTACAGGTCTTACACAAATCAAACGTAAATCTTTTTTTTATCGCTCCAGCTTTAAATGCCTCATCAAAAACGTTTTTTTAAAAAAAAAAATTTCGAATTACATTATTACAAGCAACACTATCAGCTGACAGATTCTTCAAACAAAAAGATATTTAATGTAAACAAAGTAATTAATGCATTGGATATATTTCGCTTCAAATTAAACATAAAATCATGTCTTTTTAATCTTGTGTTTTTATCTCACTAAAAGAAGCAGAAAATAAATTAATTTATCATAGAAAAATTAGGGTAGAAAGCTCTATCGCTTGATAAAGAGGGATAAAAAGAAACATGTCGTTATGGTGCAAATTAATAAGCGAAGAGTAAAAACATTTTAAAATTAAACTAAAGTTAAAAAATCAAGATTGACAATAAAGTAATTCAAATAAAATAAAGAACACAATTTATTATCTCATTTCTTACTCAGTGCAAGAAAACGTCTGGAGCTTGAAAAAAGCAAATAGTGAAAGCCTGTGTTTCGATCATCTGTTTTACATATTACGCAACAATACTTGTATTTGTTTTATTATTCAGGATTTTGTTAATATTCATTGAGGTGCTTTAAAATGTATAACTTTAAAAGTTGCAACAAAAAAAGATTATTTTTTGACAGATTCATTAATCATTAATTTTTTTTTCAATCTGATTATTAAGGTATTCTGCAAAAATCAAATGATCTCAGATGATCGCAAAAAGACTACGTAGGTTTCCCCCTTTCTTATCGATGCTGCAAATTTGGCAAAAGCTGGCATCAAATATCGGACGTTTTGTTTGAGAGGCACACGGTTTAATCATTAAGCCTCGGCTGCTCTAGTTCGATTCATTGTAACATGTTAAAATTTAACAGAAGCAAAATTTGAATGATCCAATTACAGAGATACCAAAATGTGAATGATCCAATTACAGAGATACCAAAATGTGAATGATCCGAATACAGAGATACCAAAATGTGAATGATCCAATTACAGAGATACCAAAATGTGAATGATCCAATTACAGAGATACCAAAATGTGAATGATCCAATTACAGAGATAACAAAATTACAGAGATAACAAAATAATATAGAGATTAATACTCTTTTACATAGACGTTGTAAAAAAAAAAATAAAGATTATTATGTGCTTTCAGATGTTTCTGAAGTTTTTTTACTGTTGGTTCACTTTTATATATTTTAGCTACATGTTACAATTTTCCAAACTGTTAGAAAGGATAAGAAACATGATACTTTATTGAAAATTGCATTAAAGCAATTCATTTTAAATGGCCACAAGCTATTTTAGGTACATTATTACTGTAAAATAAAATTACTAGCGCAATATGGTTTATGTATTATCTAGTTTTAGTGTTGTTTTTTTTTGTGTGTGAAAGATTTTTACAAAATGTTTTACAAGTTTAGTTTATAAAGCTTTTATGCAACGACATGCAATAATTTATCCTTTGTAATGTCCTT